CCATTTTGCTTCCATTTTGATTGCTGATTTGTTTTTCCCGATCTTGTTTCATTTTCTCCTTTGTTTTCAGATGGCAGCAATTCATGATCCTGCAACTTATCTATCTTTTACGCACAATTTTTATCTATTCATTTGTCCCATTAACACTACTTTGCACTATAACGGTTATCGACTAGAAATAGCTGTTATCAATTGTTGCAACTAGTCCCAATTCCCAACTTTCAACTGTTCCTGTTGAACTGGTTTCATCTTTTACCTTTTAATCTCTCCTGCCCTCCACTCAGTCGTAGGCCTGCCATTTTCTTCCTGTTTCCAGCTTTTCATTTGTTCAAAACCTATTACATTTCTCCCTTTTCCCAGCAAAGAGCACACAGATCTGAAATGTTCTCACAGAGTAGATTTTTCCAATATTTCTTTTAGGTGTTGGGGTGGGTGCTAAAACATGCAGGACAACCTCCACTAACCTCCCCCCCCAACTCTAACAATGGGAGAGCCCATCCCAGCTTGCACTAACAGGCAATTAAGTGGTCGTCTGGTAGGCATTCAATACATGACTTCCTGAGACAGCAAAGGCTCACTCTTATGTGAAGCACTGGCCAATCAGATTTTAGCAGCCACAGTGCGAAGTAGTGCCATCTCAGGGCCTGAGGCTACGGTTCTTTTTTAAAAATTCACTCATGGGATGTAGTTGTCTCTGGCTGGCCTACATTTATTGCCCGTCCCTAGTTGCCCTTGAGAAAGTGGTGGTGAGCTGTCTTCTTGAACTGCTGCAGTCCACATACTGTGGGTTGAGCCACAATGCCATTACAGGAAATTCTAGGATGTTGAACCACCAGTGAAGAAATGGCGATATATTTCCAAGACCGGATGGTGAGCGGCTTGGAGGGGAACTTGCAGTTGGTGGTGTTCTCATGTATCTGTTGCCCTTATCCTTCTAGATGGAAGTGGTTATAGGTTTGGAAGGTGCTGTCTGAGGATCTTTGGTGAATTTCTGCAGTGCATTTTGTAGATGGCACACATTGCTGCTACTGAGCGCTGGTGGTGGAGGGAGTGGATATGGATGCCAAGCAAGTTGCTTTGCCTGGATGAGTCAAGTTACTTGAGGATTGTTGTAGTTGCATCCATCCAGGCAACTGACCACCAAAACATCATCTCCCAAACCATCCACAACCTCATCATCTCAGGTGACCTCCCACCCATAGGCTCCAACCTCATCGTTCCCCAACCCTGCACTGCCCATTTCTATCTCCTTCCCAAAATCCACAAACCTGACTGCCCTGGTCGACCCATTGTCTCTGCCTGCTCCTGCCCCACCAACTTATCTCCACTTACCTCGACTCCATTTTCTCCCCCTTGGTCCCGGAACTCCCCACCTACGTCCATGACACCACCCACGCCCTCCACCTTCTCCAAAACTTCCGATTCCCTGGTCCCCAACACCTCATCTTTACCATGGACGTCCAGTCCCTATACACTCGCATTCCCCATGTAGATGGCCTAAAGGCCCTCTACTTCTTCATGTCCCGCAGGCCCGACCAGTCCCCCTCCACTGACACCGTCATCCGCTTAGCTGAACTCGTCTTCACCCTTAACAACTTCTCCTTCAATTCCTCCCACTTCCTACATACAAAGGGGGTGGCTGTGGGTACCCACATGGGCCCTTGCTATGCCTGCCTCTTTGTAGGATACGTGGAACAATCCCTCTTTCCGTAGCTACACTGGCCCTAACCCCACCTCTTCCTCCGTTACATCGATGACTGTGTCGGCGCCACCTCGTGCTCCCACGAGGAGCTTGAACAGTTCATCCACTTCACCCACTTCAGTAACACCTCCCACCCCAACCTTAAGTTTACCTGGACCATCTCCAATACATCTCTCTCCTTCCTGGACCTCTCTGTTTCCATCTCTGGCAACCACCTGGAAACCGATATCCATTTCAAGCCTACCGACTCCCACAGCTACCTAGAGTACACCTCCTCTCATCCACTTTCCTGCAAAAATACCATTCCCTATTCCCAATTCCTTTGCTTCCACCGCATCTGCTCCCGAGATGAGGCATTCCACTCCCGGACATCCCAGATGTGCTCGTTTTTCAAGGACCGCAACTTCCCCTCCACGGTGGTCGAAAATGCCCTTGACCGTGTCTCCTGCATTTCCCGCAACTCATTCCTCACATCCCTTCCCCGCAATAACAACCAAAACAGAATTCCCCTTGTCCTCACGTACTACCCCACCAACCTCCGGATCCAACGCGTCATCCTCCGGCACTTGCACCATCTGCAATCTGACCCCACCACCAAAGACATCTTTCCCTCCCCACCCTTATCTGCTTTCCGGAGGGACCACTCTCTCCGTGACTCCCTTGTCCGCTCCACACTCCCCTCCAGCCCCACCACACCCGGCACTTTTCCCTGCAACCGTTATAGTGCTACACCTCCCCCTACACCTCCCCCCTCATCCCCATCCCAGGCCCCAAGAAGACCTTCCGCATCAAACAGATGTTCACCTGCACATCTGCTAATGTGGTATACTGTATCCGCTGTTCCCAATGTGGCCTCCTCTACATCAGGGAAACCAAGCAGAGGCTTGGGGACCGCTTTGTGGAACACCTACGCTCGGTTCATGACAGACGTCTGCACCTCCCAGTCGTGAACCATTTCAACTCACCCTCCCACTCCTTGGACGACATGTCCGTCCTGGGCCTCCTCCAGTGCCACAATGATACCAGCCGAAGGTTGCAGGAATAGCACCTCATTTCATTTGGGAACACTGCAGCCCAATGGTCTCAATGTGGACTTCACAAGCTTCAAAATCTCCCCTCCTCCGACCACATCCCAAAACCAGCCCAGCTCGTACCCGCCTCCCTAACCTGTCCTCCCACCTATCTACTCCTCCCACCTCAAGCCCCACCCCCATCTCCTACCTACTAGCCTCATCCCGCCTCCTTGACCTGTCCGTCCTCCTTGGACTGACCTATCCCCTCCCTAACTCCCCACCTACACTCATCTTTACTGGCTCCAACCCCACGTCTTTGACCTGTCTGTCTCCTCTCCACCTATCTTCTCCTTTATTCATCTTCTATCCACCTCCCCCTCTATTTATTTCAGAATCCCCTTCCCCTCCCCCATTTCTGAAGACGGGTCTAGACCCGAAACGTCAGTTTTCCTGCTCCTCTGATGCTGCTTGGCCTGCTGTGTTCACTCAGCTCTACACCTTGTTATATTGGAGTATTCCACAGAACTCATCCAAAGTTCATGAGCAGTGAGCAAGGTTTGGTGGGTAGGGTGGGGGGAGTCCCAGGTTGTAGGGAGCTTGCAGGAAGGAACGGTAGTCAGGAAGTCAGAGGCAGGACAGGAGGTTGGATTTCAGTAGTCAGTCCCCAAGTCCCATTTGTACTCCTGATCACCACAACTTTGCAGCACAGTTTGTACCCTGCCCAAGTGTACCCCCAGGAGACAGACCACTTTCTCTCACTAATCATAGAATCACAGAAGTATTATGGCATAGAATAAGGTCATTCAGTCCATTGTGCCTTGTTAAACAAGCATCACTACCTAATGCCAATCTCCTGCTCGTTCCCCATTTGGAAGGGCTGACAGTTCTCACATGCAGCGGTTTCATATGGTGGCCATTTATCGCCTTTCCTGCCATCTTGCTCAGCACTTTTAGGAGGGGGAGATTCTACCCACACATTATCTCACCACAAATACTGCCAGACCTGGGGTAATTCCAGAATTTTCCACGTTATTCCCTTGTAAAAGGTGCTGCTTGCCTTGATGTGGTAGTAGAGAGGCTCAATTTCCTGTGCTCCTAAACAGGCATATAACATGCTGGGCAACACCAATTTAACACGGCCCCTGTGACTGTCTGAATAGAGGTGCAGCACACAAGCCCGCCCCTGGTGCACTCGGTTTCAGGCGCAATTAAATTTCCAGGCAGTTGTTGAAACGTTATGATCACACTGTGTCAATTTCCATCAGAGTTTTGTTGCTCTATTCACTTCCAGTTATTAATGGCCAAATGTCTCACTGATCTTATAGTAAGGGGTGGCCATTAGCTGTTTCAAATTCAGAACATGTACGGAGCACTTGGCAACAGCCATCGAGTCATACAGCATGGAAACAGACCGTTTGGTCTAGCCAGTCCGTGCCAACCATAAACCCAAACTAAACTAGTCTCACCTGTCTGCGCTTGACCAACATCCCTCCAAACATTTCTTATTCATGTACTTATCCAAATGTCTTTTAAACATTGTAACTGTACCCACAACATCACTTCCTCTGGAAGTTCATTCCACATACACTGTAAAAAAAATTTGCCTCTCATGTATTATTTAAATCTTTCTGCTCCCTCCTTAAAAAACAAGCCAATTTGACTTTGTCAGCATGTTCGTTTTGATGGTTCATAAAGAGGAACTGCTCAAAGATTGCAAATGATTCAAAGGCAGAATTGACATGCAGCAGGGTATATTCTCACTACAATCTTGAATAGTTCCAATTTCAATTTTCAGATCTCTTTAATAGGGTGGTGTCAAACTTAAACGAAGAACATGCATGATGGGTAATCCTCAACTGTATATTAGTGTAATCTTGTACGAGATAAAAGCAAGCTAAGGAATTAGTAATGTGCAGGCTCTTGTCAGATCCTCCCCTTTTGAATCCCGTGCTCTGTACGCCTCTACTCAAAATTGTTTCACTTCACATCTATTGCACATATTACCCTTGTACAGTTGGTTTTACTCGGTATTTGTCTACACTATTATTGTTCTATTTGATCCTACACCCTCGTTCTCCAAGATTCCTTACACCACGGCCCTCCAGTAACACCATTATCAGGCCATTGGATCCAATATTCGTCTGTAGGGAACTTAATCCCTCACAAACTCCACCATTACTTCCCTATCAACGGATCCCTGCATGTTTAAGGCAGAGATAATTATCCCCTTTCTTGTATGGCCGAAAGACTGAATACTGAAGTCGACAGAGATAAAAATCTCTTACCTGAAGGATATTAATTTTTGAAAGTCTGGTTTCTTGCTGCTGTTTCCCTCTTCGGAGTGTCTGCAATGTGGGTGTGCCACAGTGCAAAGGTTGCAGCCTATATTAACCTTCTCCAGGTTATAAACCGTTCGCAGTTACTGATCTTTGCAGTCTAAGTAGTGGCTAATCTTTAACCAAGCAAGCAAATCAAACTCTTTTTGTGCCTCTTTTCATCCAGTATTGGGTTAGTGAACTAAAGGGATCTATGGCCTCACAACATAACCAGTTTTGTGTTATTTAACACCTAGTGACTGAAACCAATGCTTGTTCTGAAATCTAACCAGGCTGTGTGGAATTTAACTGCTTATATTTGCATAATTTCCTGGCGAATCAATGTCACAGGTTGATATCTTGCCTTACCTGCGAAATTTTACCTGTAGGTTTACTCAATCTCACAATAAAGAGACAACAGTAAACATCACAAAGAGACAAATCAAGTTTTTCTGGTGACAGTATAAATATGGGCGGATTTTACATTCTTTTAGAGGAACGCAATTGCCCAACATTTTCCACTATATCATCTACAATGGAACAAAATCATTGTGCCAGTGCAAAATTAACCTATAAATTGCCACACTGCCAGTTGTGTATGGTTTCCTCAAGCCCAAAAGTGGGCTAGTGTAACTTAGAATAATCTAGCCTTCTGATCTCACCAGAAGGATTTTGTTGAATAAACAGAATGGCATCTATTGCATTAGGACACCGTTTGCAGATTATTTCTGACCTACATTACTACAAAGCAATGTTGTTGGGAGCACTCAAGCACCACTTCTGGCTCCTACAACATTCTGCACTATTCTGATCAAGTCTTCATGACATCAGCATAATGGGAGGTGCTCACTGCACTCAATCAAGTATTAACCCTTTCAGACCCATATACAACAGTGTCAAGTGAAACAGAGGCTAGTATCCCATCACCAAGTCATCCTTTATTTACATCTGCACAGTACATGACTCTGACCAACCAGCTCAGAGCTAGACCCTAGAATCAGGAAACTTCTTGAATCTCCTGTTTATATCTGTCAGCCAGGGCTTCCTGATTGGCCCAGGTTAACAACCCCAATCAACAATGTCATCATCAATGATGTCCACCTAGCCCACGTTCCAATCACTACATCAAATTATCTTGTTGGGTACTGATTAAGCTATTAGACACCTTCTTTAACAGGCCTTCAGAGCCTGCATGGAAGTGAGTACTGAAATGCAATTGCTGCTGAGAAGGAACATTAGCAAGAGCCACTAAACTTGGTGCTTTCCAGGGAGTAAGCAACTGAGCATGAGCATAACACACTTATGTCATTGTGACACCGGATCAAATGGATTTGGAATCTGAGACAATAGGTTTCCAGGAAATGTGCTCTGTCAACATCCCTTGTGTATGGTTATGTTTGACACAGCTTAATGTTCACTTACAATATTGTAGATCTCATCTCATTACATGGCGGGAACGGTGACCAGACCCAAGGAGGCTAGTGGCAAGAAGCGTCAATGCCTGTTTCACCTACTTTTGAGAAACAAGTGATTCCCATTCAGAATTGGAGGTGAAACCTGAGAAGAAGCTCAGTAGCAACAATAGCTTCCTTGATTATAGAGAGTCATAAAGCAAATTCTGATATGCAAATATTATGGTAAATAATAAAAGTAATCTTACATTGAATACAAGGGAAGACCTATTGATTCTTTTGGAGGCTATGCCACAGTTAATGAAAATAATTCTCTGACTGTCTTCCATTTAACTTTGGGGCACAAGAGGAATTAAAATCAAGGTTAGAAAGCAGGTATAGGCTATGCTTTGCTGCAATGGACGAGAGATCATGACAACATGATATATCATTCTTAATCATCATGTTTCTTTATTGAGCAGAAATGCCTGTGTAGCCTTCTTTATTTAGTAGATTCTGAAGACTCAGTGAGCCCTAAAACAGTCTCCACTCTGGAGCGTCCACACTTAGGATCTCTGGAAGACAGTGCAGATGTTCAACTTCCCCCATAATAGAGGATTAAAATGGAGCAGGATGAAAAGATAGTAAGACGAAGTTAACCAGCCATAAAAGGGCATTCTAGATCCGAGGTTATTCTTTCAGAACCTAGAGACGCAGATGGAATCCATGACTCCTGCTGCTTAGGAGGCAGAGACATTAGACCTCCCAGTAATCATGGATTCAGGTGTACTGTTTGTGAAGTCTCTGCTGATTTTGTTGAGGAGAATCATCCCTCTGTTGAAGAAAATGAGAAAGAATTAAACCCATCCACAATCATCATCCAGGTCTTTCTGTGTCTCAGATCTCTGTAATCTCTCACGTTAAGATCATATGTTTCTGTTTTTATTCTGCCTGCCAAAATGGGCAATTTTACATTTTCCCACATTGTACTCCATTTGTCACATCTTTGTCCACTCACTTAACATACCAATATACTTTTCGAAACTTCTTTTTGTCCTATTCACAACTTCCTTTCCTACCGATCTTTACGTCATCAGCAAATTTAGCATCATATTTTCTATCCTTTCATCGAAGACATTTGTAAAAATTGTAAACAATTAATGTCCAACATGAATTACTGTGGCACTTGCCAACCAATACAAAATGTACCCTACTCTCATTTCTTGTTTACCACCCAATCTTCTATCCATGCCAATACGTTTCCCCTGTGCAATGAACCTTTATTTTCCACAATAACCTTTGAAGTGGCACCTTATCAAAAGCTTTCTGGAAATCTAAGTGTGGTACATCCACAGGTATCCCTTCATCCACAACATGTGCTGTCTCTTCAATGAACTCCAATAGCTTGAATAGTGTCACATTGTGGAATGGGTTTTGTCAGTTATAAATACAGAAGCATCCATGTTAATTAACAGACTACACAGACAGGCAGACCCGTAACGAAGCATCGATATGATCTTCACATCGTCTGTCCTAGCCTAGGGACAAGTTATTTCTCAGAGATTTTAATCAGCTCCCTGCCTTCTTTTTGTTTGTTGTCCTTATATGAGGACACTTGTTTTAGATCTCAATATTCTTCCCTGCAATTCCCCAACATCACCCAACATTCTGTTGACTGTGGCCTGACTTATTACCATCCCCCAGTCCCCAGTTCAGATCCTCCTCAGTAGTGGTCATTTTGTCAACTGTTTAGCCCTGTGCGCTCCTGACCTATTGGTGGTTATCGCCCAGTTCTGCTCAATTCTGGCCTGCAGATACACTGCACCTGCTATTCTGACCTCTGCAGTTCTGAGTGCACATCTCCTGCTTCCACAGTTTAAGTTGGCTCTTAAGTTCAGGTCTCCACAGACTGTTTCTCATGATTGCTTGGCTTGCACCCTAAGCATGAGTGGATAAATAGAAGTTACTTTGCCAACTGGTGCAACCAACCAACCAGTTCCTTAGTGTCTGTGCACGACCCTCATGCAGCACCAAGTTTTGTGGAGTAGATATCTTTAATCAACCTGTTCAGTTGTGTTATAACACACTGTGGGAGCAATTGGGACTTAAACCTGGGTCTTCTGGCTCAGGAGTAGAGGCACCACCACCACACCATAAGAGGTCCAAATTTTGTGCAATCCTAAATATACTCAGCATGTGTCAGCTGTAAAGGGAATCAAACAGCAAATAGTTGATCAAGGGGAGGACATCCTCTCAGATTGCTGCAAGAAAGCTTTAACTATTTGTGATATATTTAGACTTTTCTTCTCACATTTCTTCATGGACCATGGTTACATCATAGCTCACATGCCTGGTTTATACTTTCAGTTCTGCTTTTACATGGCTATATACCTGACTCTTGTTTCTCCACCATTTTCCTCATCCTCCCATCAAAATATCCTGTTCCCTATTTACTCTGACCTTCTTAACTTTCCACTTCCCTTTTTAGTTCTATTTTTATAAAGGATGTCAATTACCAAAAAAATGCCAACGTCCTATTCCATTTAACCTCGTATTTGTTATTGTCAGTGAAAATATCCATCTAATGTCCCCAGTGTTGCTCTTACAGCTGCAGCTGGTGGTCTGCTGACCCATCTCCTAATTAGACTGTTAGGCTTAAATCATTTCTACAACTTTAATAGGACTAACCAAAGTATATAATCTCATACATCTATGTAACTTCATCCATTAACCCCTTCACACTCATAATCCTTTCCTTTCCCTGGGCTTTGCTGAAATTTCAGGTAACTTTGCTCATTGGTTCATTTCAGTGGAGTCTAAAAGACTTCACATGGTGTCCAATTCTTCAAAAAGTACATGAATGTCAATCTCTTTAAGATTGCAAATGTGACCTTTGCAAACCTTTGTAAAATTCACTCATGACATATAAGTCATAGCTGTCACTCAAGTGCTTCTTGACCCTTTTACAGAAAGTTAAACTATATCTTACATGTTTTTCTGTCATTTCCAGTGTAATTTGCTTCTGTCTGCCATTCATTGTAAATACCCAAAGATTGCATTGAATCTTCCTCTCCAAGTTTCCATTTATGTCACGCATCAGCTCACACACTGAGAGGATGCTGAATGTCTTTACCGCTAAAGTTCAATAAAGTCCATTAATAATTTCAAAGCTTGCTAAGAAAGGGAAAGCAAATCTCAGTCACTTCCCTCATCCCTGAATCATCCCATTGCATTTGGGGAACTCTTCCTCATATACTCTGTAAGGAGCTTATCAGAGGTTTCCAGCCCTAACGCAATCTTAGCCAGCAGTAGCTAACTTCCTGCTCAACGTGCCTCAATAGATTGCAATCCTCCAATTCAAGAAAGCCATAGATCTCCCTCAGTTGATGCATTTTTGCTTGCAGAAATGCTGAAGTGGGCTAATATCTTGGGAATGGTGTTTTCTGCATCAAGATCAGGGTATAAGAACAGCAGTCCAGCCCCTACAGCTGCTGGCTCAGTCAAAAAGTCAACAGCTCAGCAACCTGAGGAAGACCACTGTTAGAGGTAGCCAGTGCTGAGGCTGCAGCTTTAAGGAGAGGGCACATTGATAGCCAACTGCCCTTGAAAGATGAGATCTTAGAATACCCAACCACCCAACAGGCTTTAGAGATTGTGGGGGGAGGGCAGATGCTGTTGCTATAAATGTGGTCATTGTTACCAGGGAATCATTCAGTGGGCTATGAAGTGCCCCAAAAGTAAGCCCTGGGTGCCTCACATCCCTCACCTTCCCGCTAGAGCCCGTGTGAGGTCACCCCCAAAAATGCACCATCATTCTCTCTTCTAACCTTT